CCTTGCCTCTAGCTTCTCGCACTGCTTTCTTTGCATTTTTATTATTTTTTATATATATGAGAATGTTATATTCTCCTTTATCTGTTATTACTTATTACCTTTACTATCTTATGTTTTTAAAATATAAATCTCCTATCTTAAGTACAAAAAAGAAAAAAACCACTGCCAATGAACCCTGATTTGTGAGAGTAGGGGTGAAAGAAAACCTTATGGGGGCGTTTGGTTGAAGATAAATTTTAAGAATACTAGAGAAATGTAATTACTAGGTATCCATAGGGAAAGTTGAATAGATGGGGAAGTTAAAAAAAAGTAGTTTAGTTTGACAAAATTTTACCAGGGAAATATATGACAAAAAGTGTGTCAACAGTGCTTTACCCGGGTTTTCTCAAAAAACCACCCTCAAATCGGGTTTCTAAACAGTGCAAATTACTATCTTTCTCAAAAAACCAGGCATTTCACATAGATGAGTTTTGGTCAAAACCTGTTGAACCAAACATGGTCAAGTGGAAATCCACATGAAAGTTGCTTGGGTTTCTTCAACAAAACCCCCAACCAAACACCACCTGTATGTAGTCTTACCCTTACCCTTATATTTTTGCAAAGAAGTTGTTTCTTGAATTTGAACCTGTAACTTTTTAGTCAAACTGAGCAACTTTTACCACCACTGCGAGCTCACCCTCTTTCTATTTTAGGTATAAAAACTTGCATTAGTTAAAATCCTGATTTCTTCTCATGAATGTTTGCTTAACTTGGAAGGTTGCCTTTTTCTTACGGTGGGTTTTGTTATAAATCAATAACATTAACGAATGGGTTTAAATTTTGAGGGATTTTACAAATGAACTTTTTATCTACCAATAATCATGTAATGTTTGCCTATCTTAATATCCAAATGTGATAATGCTCTCAAATCGTATGCCTTAAGTTATTCTGAAGTCATATAAGTTATATCTATACGAACATTTGAGTATGTACAAATAATATGAAAATTAAGGGTTTTCTCATCTGTTCATACTTTATAAGGACCTTTTCCTTGCATTGATTCGTAGTTATTGCTTTGCTTCTTTACTTCCTAAATTTTCAACTCTCTCTTGTTTCATCTAGGTTGTTCATACTCAAGCAAAAGTTATGACTGACCACGATGTCATGTACAAGTATGCATCAAAGAATGTACTTTTTGTCGCAAATGCAGCACCAAAAGCTAGAGGTGAAATCGGAACAGCGACCCCAGAGGAGGCATGGTTGGTCATCTATATCATTGATACTGTAGCTGGTCGCATATTGCATCGCATGACTCATCATGGTTGCCAGGGTCCTGTTCATGCTGTAAGTTTTTGTACTATATTCTCATTCAAAAGGTGTAAAACATGAATCTGACTTTCTCTTACACGAATGTTACTTCTATATAGGTATTTAGTGAAAACTGGGTTGTCTACCACTATTTTAATCTCAGAGCACACAGATATGAGATGTCAGTTGTCGAGGTCTATGATCAGTCTCGGGCGGTATGTTAGTCAACTCTTGTATCTTCATTTAATGAACCTTCTCTCTCTTTTTTGTTGTGATCTATGTTAATTCCATTTTTTATTTTTTTTGGGTACTTGGATATAATTCACAGGATAACAAAGATGTTTGGAAGTTTGTTCTCGGCAAGCATAATCTTTCATCACCCATTTCTTCTTATTATCGACCTGAAATCATTACAAAATCACAATCATACTTCTTTACCCATTCTGTGAAAGCAATACAAGTGACTTCAACCGCCAAGGGTATAACCTCTAAGCAGCTTCTTATTGGAACAATTGGTGATCAGGTTGGAATTATTTCGTCTACTGAGTTTTTTTGTCTGTTATTATTAGAACTCGATATCAAAAGAAACAATCTGCTCTTTCTCTTGTTTAATTTTATTCTTCAATGAAATCTAATCGATATTCTTACAAATTTGTATGTCAACTGGGATTTTTTTGCAGGTTTTGGCACTTGATAAACGTTTTTTGGATCCTCGGCGCACACTAAATCCCTCACAAGCTGAGAAAGAAGAGGGAATTATTCCTCTTACTGATTCATTGCCAATCATTTCTCAGGTACATTTTGTCTCTGAAATTTTATCTTTGTTTAATACCGGCCAAAAAATAAAAAATCCTTGTTCCTTTTCTTCAAAATTGAAATTTACAGTTTTACATTTTACAGTTTACAGTTTTCTTCCTTTTTCATGGTAAATCTTAAATTGCTTCTGGTCAAGGGAGATAGAGTACATTGAGAAGAGGGGAGGAGTTGGGGAACTTATATGACAAAAAATGGTGAACTGGTGAAGGGCCGTGGTCTCCTGGAAAGGTGGCATATATATCAAAGCCTGAATGTTTCCTCCTCCTCACCTTCTTCTCTCCGTTTCTCTCAGCAAACAAAGCATATTTGCAGTACACAAGTTCGTTTGTTGAGGATCTTAGATTGTGTACAAGGTGGGAGGAGCCATAGGATTAGTAATGAATCACAACTATAATAACTAGTTCTAGTAAAAATGACTTTGCATTTATCTTCAAACTCATGCTTCTCTTTGAGCTAACGTACTTGTTATCATGAAATTCTACTCATCCTGCTTGAATCTCTGCAGTCCTATATTACACATTCCCTTAAAGTGGAAGGTCTCCGAGGTATAGTGACAGTGCCTGCCAAGCTGGAGTCTACATCCCTCGTCTTTGCCTATGGGGTAGATCTATTCTTTACCCAGATTGCTCCTTCTAGGACATACGATTCGCTAACTGAAGATTTCAGCTATGCTCTACTTCTTCTAACAATTGTTGCACTTGTAGCAGCAATATTTGTTACTTGGGTATTATCCGAGAGGAAAGATCTACAAGAGAAATGGAGATGATCTGTCATCCGTTTTTGCCCTACAATTTCTTTAATTTTGAAATTTGTAGGTTTATCTCTCAGTTTTCTTTGTTAGTTATCAGTTAAGTTCGGAGGTTCGATGAAATCTAGTAGCTTGAATTGCAAAAGTAATGTAAAATTCCATTACCTTCCATTGTTAGAGGGTGAATGGGGGATTTTAATTTTAATGATTTTGTAAATTGAGGAGTACAAAAGAGAATCATAGACTGTTGATGAAATATTTTGCTCCATATTCTAGGTGCCTCATTCGCAACTACAACTGGGTTTGAGAAAAGTATTGTAGACCACTTTTCCAATCATTTTCCTTTTCTGATTAATTACGGATACAGTTCTTAATTTTAGTCATGTCCTTTTTTTAATTGCTTTGATATTTTAAAGTTCCAACGAAAAATTTCTACGTTAATATTTTTATCATTAGTATTTGAAGCTTTTTTTATTCAAACAATTAGAATAAGCCACAGATAAAAATGAGAAAAGTGAAAGAAAGAAATAGGACAAAAAATTTAAATGGTCATACTAAAATTATTATTTAACATATTTAATAGAATCTCCAAAAAAAAAAAATATTTAACAGGGTAAAGCATATCTCATTGTTTGAATAACATTTAATCCTCAAGTAAAAAAGTGAGCTATTGGAAAAAGGAATTTTTATAGGGAGTGTTTTGTATGGGGATTTTATTTTGTTGCCTAGGAAAAGTAGGGAAAGGATTCAAAGGAAACTATATTTGGTAGAGGTTTGGAAAAAATTTGCCTAGAAAATTTATTTGTATGAGAATGTAATTTGTGTGTAAAATTGAAGGTAGAATTCCACCCAGAAGGTGGCATTCTGATTTTGCCGGCAAACTAAAAATTTGGGTGCAAAAATATTCCTCAAATATAGATTCAGGAAACTTAAACCAATTTTTTCCGTAATATTTTGATCTACCAAATAATCTTTTTTTTAACTTTTTCATAAAACTCACTTTCCCATCATATTCTCAGTAATTGTGATTTTCTGATAAAAAAAAATTTCTTTTCTATTAAACACCCGCTAAGTGTTTTTTACGAAAGCTGACACTATTTAGATTTTGAAAAAAATGTTTGGATATAAAAAAAAAATTTAACTTTTAACTTTTACTTTTTTTAAACATTAAAATTTTTAGTTAAAAAATAAATAAATTAGATTTTTAACTTTTTTTAGTGAGTTTTTTTTTTTTTTTTAAGTATATATCCAAACATTAATCGGTAGTAAAAAAGATTTTTTTTTTTTTTAAAAAAAACTTTTAGAGAGTAAAAAAACCATTCAAAATGGAAAATTAATTGTATGGTCCCTTCCTCTCTCCTTTTTCTTTCTCTCTCTCCTCTCTTCACTCTATGTGCACCAAATATTCGCTCTTCAAAGTGGCTCTTCGTAAAAAAACAAAAAAGTCAGGGACTCTTGGCTTGTTTGCTAAATCTCATTATTCTTCCATGTGAAGATACTCAGCGAGTATCCTTCGAATTTTCTTACCTCAATGTTGAGTTTTGATGCTGCTCTAAAATAAATTTTACTTTTAAATAAAAAATTGTAAAAAAATACTTTTATCACGCCTCTTACAAATCTTATTCATGATCAAATGATAATTTGAGTGTATTGCATCAATGACTAACTAACCAAGAATTGATGGTAGGTTAAGAACTTAAGATACTATTTTTAACAAAATTTGTGTAAGTATCTTTACTGTTAAATTTAACCAAACTGGAGTTTTTTTTTTTTTGGTGCCATGGAAGTACCGAATTCAATTCGGTATTCTCTTTTCTCAAAAAGAAATTTTTTATTCCTATTTAAATCAACGTCTTTATTTTTATTTTCAATTAAATTTCAAATTTTTATCCTTTTTAGAAGGATGTATGATATTACGAGACTACCAAAGATTTTTGTTCACCAAACTGACCATATATCATAAACCCCACTTAAATTAAAATTAAGGCGTATCTATTACTATGAATGCATAAAACAACAAGAGGATGCCACGTCGCATTGACCCATTCAATTGTTTTTCACAAAGGTGACAGAAGGCAAGAACCACGTCGTACTGCAGAAATAGTACTAATAACTCCGTGCTGTTGGTTGAATTATTGTTCCAACTTACAATAAACACAAGGGAAATCATTATCTCCTTCCACATGAGATAAGAACTTTTTCCTACACAAATTCGTTTTCCGTGCCAATTAATTTTTCTTTTCTTTTTTAATTTAAAATGTGGGACCCACATTTAACTTATCTCTACTTTTTTTCTCTCCTACTATCCTAACATAAGAAAATATGCACCCTAAACACAAAGGAAGGTAACAAACAAAGATCACAGGAACAGAAGAGAACCACTCTCCTTCTCTTCTACAATGAAAACCCATCAACCAAAGCTGAAGACCCAACTATTCTCATGCGGGTTCTTTGGCCACTGCGCTCAAAACGTTCTGAGCCCAACGGGTGCCACCCCACCACTCCCTCTCACTCCTCCTCGCTTGTTGAAACCAGATTGTGACTCCTCCACCTCATCCTCTTCTTCCGCCACTTCTCAAAGCTTCACACAGTGGAGATTCTCTCTCCCCACCCCCAACACAAACACAAACACAGACACAGACACAAAAACAAACACTTCCGCTTCCACTCCTCAACAAACACTCGACCTACAAGAACTGTTCCACGTGTCGGAGCTCCAGCTCAGCACCGACCTCACTGCTGCACTCCACCTTCTAGAACGTTCTCTCGTTCCCAACCCACCACAAGAGCAACCACCTTGCCCGCCAAACCTAATGCGCGAGCTCCTCCGAAATCTCAGGGAAGCGAAGCCCGCGACCAAGATACTCTTCGCGCTTTGCTTGTCGGAGGCAAACCGCCGCGTCGCCGTCGAAGCCGGTGCCGTCGGCGCCGTTGTTGAGTCCGCGACGGAGCTGGATGGCCCGCCGGCGGAGAGGGCTCTTGCCGCGCTGGAGCTCATGTGTACGGTGGCGGAGGGGGCGGAGGAGGTGAGGGCCCACGCGCTGGCTGTGCCGGTGATGGTGACCATGATGGGCAAGACGGGGGCGCGTGGGAAGGAGTACGCCATCGGGGTGCTGGGGGTGATGTACGGCGGACCGGTGGCGGAGCATATGACGGCTCCGCCGGAAGAGGTGGCGCGTGCGGTGGAGCTGGCGCTGCAAGAGGAGTGCTCCGCCAGGGGCAGGAGGAAGGGGGCACAGCTGTTGAAGACACTGCAACAGCTTTCTGAGCCTCAACCTCATCCACACGACGCAAATTGAAGGCTTTGCCTCTTTTTTATTTTCTTTTTTATAAACCGTTTTTTATTTTGATTTGTTGTTGTTGTACTGGTTAGTGCTTGTTTTCGTTTGTGATTGTGGACCTATTTTTCCAACTCCATCTTTATAATTTATCGGTCATTAACACCTTTGTTCTATCTTTGTCATTGTTCCGAGAGAATCTCCGTTTTTGGTTTACGTTAGAAAATAATATAAATTATTAAAAAAGACCTCAGCTGTCATCCCAACATCTTAAAATTTTATGTTAGAATTGGTTGTTTAGATATAAAGTCTATCATATCAACATGTATGAAATAGTTATGTTGTTCATGATTGAATATTCGTTCTTTGACGGCATTATAGAAATAAAAGAGTTCAATTAGTTCGTAAGATGTACAATTTAAAATCTTAATCTCATCTCTGTGTTAAAAACAATTGAATACATATAACTAATCAAGGGGTTAGCCATTTAACTGATTTAAAAATGCAGACATAACAAAATTTAATTTTGATAGACTAAGATCGTTTCATAATGTCATGAGTTTAACGTTTTATATAATTGTTATATCATCAAATGTGATGTAACTACACAATTAAATAATAGTAAAAAAAAATCAATAGAGACATTACATGAAAAGTAAACTCTAATTAATAATAGACTTAATTAAGTGGTAGAAGCTTTTCCCCTCAAGCTTGAAAAATAAGAACTTTTGCGTATAACAACAGCCGAACAGAAATTAAAGCTTTCTCCAATGTTTTTTTGGATACAATAATGCACTGAGTTGCACACTACCCAAATCCCTTATCCCTATATAAATCCTAATGGTTTAGCTTTCTCTCCAATGTTAAACAAATTGGAAGTGATGAGCTGCTACTTAATTGTGCCTCTTAATATTTATTATTCTTTTAAATTTTGGAAGAAGAGAGAGAGAGAGAGAGAGAGAGAGAGAGAGAGAGAGAGAGAGGAGAAGGAGCTGGCTGTGGCCTGGAGAAGTGGCGTGCATGCGACAAACCAAGTTCATGCCTTCCATTTTGAGGCAGGCCAATCCTTTTCAACTGAAAGCCTAATTCAGTAACTCCAAAACTGTAATTGAACAAAACTAAAGGGGCAACCAGCTTCTTCTGTTCATGTTAATATTTATGCTTCTTATTGGTAAATTATCAAGTGATTCTCTTACAATAATTATTATCTCTTTGGATATTAAAAATAGCAAATTTTAGCATCCAAACTCTGTTCTCGAGAGAGATTTCAAGAAATATGTATCTGGGTTGAGGGCAATGTAAAGAAATTTACAGTGTTACATTGTGCAACAATTTTTTAGATGGCAATGAATCTCTATAGATTAGATTGGAGCGGGAAAAAATTAAGGGAAAAATGCAATGTAATTAATTTATATCTATATCCTGAAATTGAGCATGTCAGGTTCACGTGGAGTGGGGTTGAGTTTCAGAAATTGCTGAAAATGCGTGTTTGTTTCTGTAGGAAATATGTCAGATTTGGGAGAGAATAATGGTGGAGTGGAACAGAGTGATGGCTCCATTTCCTGCACCCTTCACACATGGTGACATAATTTGTGGGAAAATATAACCTGTGGGGCTAGTTATGTTAATTAGACCAAGTTTACGTGAATCTTTTACTTTTGTGGTAACAAGTAAATCAATATCTAGGTTCAGATTTGATTTATCTAATATGAATTGTCACTTTTGAGAAAAAAAAATGGTAAAAATGATTTAACGATTAATATTATATGCATACTAATAAATTATGTTTTTATTAAATTTTATCTCTTTAATTTTTTTTATAAATGATTAATACCCTACACTTTTTACTCTAAAAAAACTCTTCATATTCTTTCGGTTGATGCAATTTTGAAGTATACTTTACTCTTATCAATAATTAGCTAAGTAATGCGTCATATCTATTAAGTATCCTTACCAGTTTTACGTCGAAATAAGAGCGAGTACTGTGCATCTTATTATCATGGAGGGTCACAACAATAATCAAATTATACTTCCAACAATGGGAAACACGATCATTGGCTTCTAATTCATTCATTTTTAGCATCTCAATCGATAATGATCAGTTGACAATGTTTTGACGAGTGTATTATATATAAACATTTGTATCTGAGTGTATTAATTATTTAATTAATAGTTTTGTTAATATAAAATGTCCTTTTATTATTTTGAATACAGAGTAATACGAAGCACTAAAAACCAAGTGTATTATTTACAGTTAATCTTGACAATTGATATGACTTCCTTATAGTTTTATGCTGAAATTATATTTTAAATAAAAAACTATTTTACACTAAAATGTATGTTCTCCTATAAAATTTTAATTTATTGATATTAAATTCACTACGTAGTACAATAAAAAACATAACCGTATGTCAAATAAAAATATAATATCAATTTAATTTAATTTAATTTATGTCTTATGTATAGAATTATGTATGTACTTATTGATATTAAAACTATAAAAGACATAAGACATCTAAGCCTATTGTGTACTTATGTCTTATGTCAAATAGAAAGATAAAATAATAATTCTATTTGATATTAATTTTATGATTTGTAGTTTTCAATTAACAAACGTATACTACAAAATGTTGTCATAAAATATGGATTCATTAAAAAACAACTATCGTCAGAAAAAACTAGAATTTATTCACGTATTGTTAAATTGTTAAAAACATTTGACTATTGCAGTTATTATTTATGAAGTAAAACTTTTTAATTATGTGCAATTATTAGACTATATATCGGAGTTTTTTTCTCCCTAATGTACAAAGTATATACTTTATTACAAAAAAAAAAGTATATACTTTATACTCTTAGAGATTCTTTTATATATGTGAATCCGTATATCCTTTGATATTCAATTAGAATATTCAATTAGAATGTAATAGTATAGATATAAAAAGGTAGACATTTATATTTATTTTTTTACATAAAAGTAGACACCGGTGTCCGATCAGAGTTTGCGAAAAAATTACATATCTCCCACCAACAAAGAAGATTACATATCATCCACCAACAAAGAAGATTACATATCATCCACCAACAAAGTTCTCATCGATCGAGCTTAGCCCCTCTTTATTTAAAAAAAAAAAAAGTTCTCATCGGTCAGCAGTGTTTAAATCCATATTTTTTATGGGATATGGATGTGTCCACTTTTATTAGCAAGACATTTATATTTATTTCCATTTAATATAATATTAATTGGCAGAAAATGCCTGCAAACGTTTTCAAATGCATTGGATTAAATTATTATTATTTGATGTACCCATTATTATTTGTCCCATGGGTTACAAGCATAACTTTTTCTTTTGAGCAGAAAAAAAGAAAGAAAACAGCACAACTTAATCAATAGTTTTGCTATTCGAGATACTTCACTTTGTTCTTAATTTCTTCTATCCAATTAAAGCTTTGCCTTTATTTATGGATAGAAAAGCCCCCACCAAACTAAATGGGTACTAGCAGCATTATATCATATCCACCACGCAACTCCTATCACACTCGAACCATTCATGACCTGACACCATACATATATCCACAACCACAAGAAGGTATAGCAACAATCTTCCACAACTCCAATGGTGTCTAGGGTGATCTCAATGACTGCCATGCTCTATCGATCAACGTCACATATCCAACAACGGAAAAATAGCTTCCCTTGGCTGTGACCATGCTAATCAAAATAAACCTTCTTAAAGTCAAGGTAGTCACGCACCTACCATTCCTAATTAAGTTGGGGGAAAAGTGCAGTACTGAGGTTGTTCATGCCTTTGGTCATGTTAATTATAGGGCTTTGTATTTGTTGAGATATATAGTCTCACATTGGTTGTATGTACAACTAATGTAGAGTTTATAAGGTCTTGGACACTCTCATCCTTTAAGCTAGTTTTTGGGTGGTGTATCCCAAGGTTCTTTACGGTATTCTGTTCCTGCAATTCATAATCTGAAGGGCACGCCAAGATTGTAAGGTTGGAACTTGGAAGCACAAGTTATTTTCCTTGAAGCAGCCAAACTAAATAGATTATCCAACCTTTTTCAATATTCTCTTCAACTCTCTCACAAAAAGGATTTTCCCTCCAAACTATCACTTGTTGCATCTATTTGAGGAGTAGCTTTTGCCTTGAATACCAATTCTTTCAAAACCCATCATGAATATGAAATGAATGATTTATTTGATAAAAAATGATTGACCCTTATGACCAAAAAATAATATTTTTTCCCTTCTTTTTGATGCAGATATTCTAAATCGAATAAAAAGTGTCAAATTCATATACGTACCTTATATATATATATATACCTGCACTTATTTCTTTCTATTTGTTTACTATCATATACATGTATACTAGGCTAGCACATATTCAAAATGATCATGATGTTTTCATAAGTTTGCTGGATCATCAACATTAACGTACGTCTTAGGTAAAGTTATTTTTATAGCATATGTTCGAAAGGAGCATATAACCTACAATTTCACAGATGATGCTAATATTCAAGATGTGTACAGAGACCATGCTGAGCTGAAATAAATTGGTAGCCATCAAGACACATATGGCTGTGTATAAGATTGTTACAGGGTTTCCTTTAAATTAAAGCCTCCTGTGAGATTAAGTCTATGACAATTCATAGGATTTCAACCCAATTCTGTTTTGGTCACCGACTCACCGAATATCAGCGTGGCAAAATAATTTCGTGCATTTCATATATGGCGTGACATATAAATCATTCTGCTTTGAACATGCAATAACGAAGCCTATAAAAGTTTAATAAATTTTATAAACGTCAAAATGCAGATAAATAATTGATGGAAAAAGCAAGAAACGTGAATGGGAAATGCATATACAGCATACTACTGGACATTCTGGCTATCATATAGTGGGGTTATCAAGGCAAAATGCAAGCCTTAGGTTTATGATTATATTCAACAAGAATTGTCGTAGCTTATACGGTAAAGAATCAATTCAACCCAAAAATTTAAAATTTTGAGTTAAATTAGTTTTTTACATAGACTATCAAGTACGTGAATCAAATGATAAGAGATTATTCCAACTTAATCATTGATCTCAAATTTGAAGAATCATTACATAATTGTGTTAAAAACTTGGTAAGAATAGCTTTCCTTAGATGGGTTTCTAAACTAAAGCCTCGAATACAGTTATTGCATCCAGACAACTAATGGATCCTCCAAATGTGTTCGCTAGTAAACGTTCAGAAGAGATCGATATTTTAGGAGAAGGAATCAGAAAAAGGTTGATGAAAGCCACTAGAATTTATCTTGAGGAATTTGGCCGGTAGTCTGCAAAAAAAAATAAAAAAAATAAAAAGGTTGATGAGTATGCTGTAGAGGGACTATGCACATTCACTGAATGCAGACGTTGATGTTATCTCATAAATGTGGGGTACGTTACATATTTCTGCAACCAAGGTCTTGTCGACAACGAAGCTAGAGTTTGTAGGTACTTACCAGCCTTAATAACATTATGCCTTTTTATAGTACAAATAAAGCTTTCCTTTTTCTCTCTCAGAGAATGATTTCCTCCTTGCCCTTTCTCGTTTCCCCAACAATTCCTGAGAAGAAATACCGGTTTTGTCAAGGTTTATGGGTGCTTACACCTGTGCACCAATTTTTGTTGTTTCAGAAACCAAACGAACAGTTGACATCTTACTGATGAAAGAAGAAATTAACTGCTACCTACACATTAAAAAAAATAAAGGTTAACTTCCAAAAATAAAAAATAAAATAAATAAATAAAGGTTCTTTTTTACTGCATACCCAAGCAACAAAAACTTATTTGTTCATGAAATTCTTACACACAACTAGACTATTATCATCACGGCATTACACGTACCAACTTACTGAGTTTGTTTTTTTAGGGTTTGCATCAATTTACTATATAGGTAAACTCGTACGTCATAATGAAAATTTTCTACTGGTTTCACAAGTTATACTCGACCCTTTAATTTCTCTTATTTCACAAAAGGAAATTTCTTATAAATTGCTCTATTTATTTTTTCATAATAAAAGGCTAGTAGTCGTCCTTTTTTTTATTTAATACTTGCATCTATTTGCTTCTCTCTATTTTTAACAATTAGGTTCCGATTTTGCCTGTAAAGAATAATATGGGGTGGATAAATAGTTTTTATTTTTTTGTAGTTGAAGCCTGTAATTATTTTACACTGTCCTATAAAAATTCTAGCATCATTTTTCAATATGATAAATTTTCGGTTCATTAAATAGTTATCCCACTCACTTACTTATACAAAAATTATTTGAATAGCATGATCACATTAAATAGTTTATATTTCTGTAAGTTATCATGCTATTCAAATAATTTTTTTATAAGTAAGTGATCTAAATGTAACTAATTTTATGTACAAATTTTTTTTACTAGTTTAAACTTTTGAGTTTGTGGTGGTAGTTGGTGGATTCTCTTTCTATGCTAGTGGCCAAAGAAATACTAATACGAGAATGGAGAGTGTGAATAATAGTGATGCAGACCCAAGGCTTAGACTATTTATTTATATATAGGAGAGGTAAATCATTGGCTTCATGCTTACAAATCCATTGCCACCACTACTATCGAAGCTTGAGTGATACTTCATGTCATGGGTATCTGTCCTATTGTGTTGATGGTAAGTGACCATGCATATATACTAAAAAGTTATATATATATATATATATATATATATATATATATATATATATAAAAGATAGGATTCTTTGATACTAGTATCAAATTAAAAATTTGATATAAAATCTTAACCGTTTATTTTCGTCAATTTAATAGTTATAATTTATTGAGAATTAATAATTAATTAATAAATGTAATCTAATAAATTACATATAGTTGCAACTAAAACAACTTTCCTATAAAATTTAAATGAGCTATATATATTTAGTAGATAAAATGAGCTATATCTAATTAGGGTAAAATATATCATACTTAATTAACTTACGGGAATCTGCAGAAAAAATAAAAATTACCGGGAGCAGTAAAACAAACCTGTCCTTTAATGAACTAATCTTCATAAAATCAAAGAAGAAGAAAGAGGGGGGAGAAGAGACGAACGAGAATTAAGAAAAACAGCTATATCTAATATAATCAGGGTAAAATATATCATACACACGTGGTAATCTGCAGAAAAAATAACAATTACCGGGAACAGTAAAATAAACCTGTCGTTTGATGAACTAATCTCCGTTAAATCAGAAAAGAAGAAAGAGGGGAAAAAGAAGAGACGAACAAGAATTAAGAAACACCCAGATTAAAGAAACAGGGCCTACCTACCTTTGCAGTTGTTACATGAATACCAGAAGGTTCATAACCGCAATGTTTGCGACTGGTGGTCCTTACGGTATACCTTATCTCTGCAATTCACATAATCTAATCTTAATTATTATGATCCAGTGGCACTTCTTGAGATATTCCTGAAATTTGAATTATTATATGCTAATATCTAACTGTCTAAGGCAGGCACTGACGGTGTCAGCAACGTGATTTAACACTATTTTTTTTGTGCTTAGAAATTTAATGCACGGAATAAATGGGGCTTTTTTGTGCTGAAATAATATAACGCAAGATAAAAAGTTTTCGATTTCGAGATGTTTGGGTAATTGGGTGTATCTGTGTTCTGACCTACTCAGTTTCCTCCAAAAAGTTAAAGCTAATAAAAGGAAAAAGGGGCAAGTAAAATATGCAAAAGCTCATCCACACTTTGTTCTTTGGGTATAAATCTTGTCCCTCCTTTTCATCTTCTCTATTTCATATTTTCCATCGCATAATCATTGTTGGTCTCATTTTTGTTTTATAAAACCTGATAGTCTCTTTTAGGGTCTTTTTCTCTCGTTTTTTACTTTCTTTCTGTCTTGCAATTTTGTTTAGCTCATCTTCTATGATGTTATGCAGTAAGATATTTACAAGAAGGAAAACATATATGACTTTTTTTTTTTTAAATTAACCCAACCCTGATTATCTTTTGGGTCGAGTTGACTCTCCGAGCATATAATTCAGAATATGCGAATCAGGAATGAAGATATTTAAACTTCTCCCAAAAAATGACACGTGAGAAACTGAAGTCATTTCCTTTCCACTTAAACTCCATTATTATCAAGTGAACTACCAACAACATTTGTTACATATACGACGTTTTGAATGAACAAAATAGTATTTAGATAACATTATCATATACACAGACACACAAAATTGAAGTTATATATTTTAAATTAAATTATTTCTTATCCTTGTATTTTATTATTACCATGCAGATATTCTCTCTATTACGAGAACTTACATATAAAACTTCAATTTACAACAAAAGGTCTGGTGTTAAGTTGAGTGGCTAAACTAGACTACCATACAATAAGTGAGGGGGTTACATAAAAAAAGAAAAAGTGTTGGAAAAAAATTGGGATTAATATGTTTACTTTTACTGCCGCAGCAAAAGCAGAAATTTGTTTTCCAAAACTTTTATGTTTTAAAAAAAGGGGCCAAAGCCACAATCAACCTATAAGAAGAGTTGATCGTTAAACCTTCAATGTTTGGTGATGAAATACATTACTTAACTTCATATGTTAAGAATAAAAAAAAAAAAAATCACTTGCTACACTTACTTTAATTTCTATGCACAATCTTTTAATTCAATGTTCGATTACACAATATATATTTGACATAAGCTAAAGAGTCAATTAAGAATTTATTATATTTGACATCATTTTAAATAATTGGCATTCCGATTAAACTAATGATCTCAAGTTCAAATTCTGGATAAGCAGTTGTATTAAAAAATTAATGGAGCTGTTATTGTAATTCTCCCAACTGAACAACTAGATCAGTCGAATAATCGATAACTCGGTCGAAAATTCTCAAAAAAAAAATAAACAAATTTTCAATATTTTTATAAATGAGAAGTTATACTTACTACCAAATTTTAACAGTTAATATTCGCCAACTTAACAGTTATAATCTATTAAGTCATACTTATTAATTAATTATTAATTTCCAATAAATTAAAACCATTAAATTGGTGAAAATTAACAATTAAGATTTAGTAATAAGAGATATTAAAAAACATAGTAAATATAACATCTCTTTTTTTATAAATACTACATAGCTGGTAAATTTTTTCTTAATAGAGAGGAGTTTAATATAAAGGTTCCAACTCTTGCAACTGTGGCAGAAAGATTTATCAGTCACTCACACATGTTTACCAGAATCCGATGTCGGATTTTAGTAAAAATGTTTGTGGCCGACAAAATATTTATGCCACAAAAGCAGAAATACTTTTGCCTTAATATAATATAAAAAATAAATGCAGAAACTAAAGAGTATTTACTCTGAATTTTCACTTTTGTTCTAGATAATTAGGGGCATCAATCGTACGTAGTTACAAAACTAGAAAATGCAAAAAGGTCTACCCCATTTGCAGAGGCAGAGCGAAGGTCAACAGTACTATAAACTGGACATGCAAAGGGAGAATAAATTATTGACTACATTTCCTGCCCCTTCCCATTACTTAGCATGTTACTACTGAATAAATGCTTTAGAATAACGCGGAAAAAATAAAATAAAAATCCATCCTACTACAAAGACAGCATACGAGCTTTATAAATATGCATAGAAAGAGATGTGAAAGGAGAGAAGGGATCAAAATAAAAAGCCAAAATCTAAAATGAACTCACGTTCGATCTCAGCTACAAACTATATCCTTTAACTTGGTTTTGTCACTTGTATGAATTGTAACCAGAGTTTTACAAGTCTATACGGGGCTATTTTGAGGCATCCCCGTAAACTTTATGACACCAAACTGACACTTTAAAACTAGGGGGCCATCGCGAGGGCTTCCCCATAAATTTTACAACAACAACATAATAGACGAAGAACATATTATTAGTTCACATCAAAACTAATTACAACAGGTAAATGAAATAGATGCATGATGGCCTTTTATCTATGTCGGATCTTATATCACTCAGCTTTCTGGCATGGCATCTGGCCAACTCCTCCCCGAGTCAATGAATTTCAGTTTCCAAGTCAAAGATCTGCACTTCTACACTTAAGATGAAAGTCATTTGCTATGCTCAGGTTGCATGTAAGACTCCACCTGCTGAAATTGTTTAAGAAAGCCAGACGGAAAATAAGGTGGCATGAAAGAAAAGCTTTAGCATAAATTTATAGATTTATAATGAAATTCAGGAGATTATGAAAAGCTACCAGATTATGGAAAAATGAAGGGTTTCAATGTTTTGAATGTTCTTTCATTTTAGTTCCCTTCAAATTCCTCTGCTGCTTGTATCCATGTGGAGTAGGGCCGCGAGGCCTGTTTTTGGGAATACTCTTCTCAAATTTCAGATCTTCTCCTCTGATCATATAGACATTCTCTGTTCCCAGCATTATGAAATCAGCTGGATTTCTGTTCACCACACATGAGTTTCCAGAGTTGATTTTAAACGGCACTGAGGTTTCATGAGTACCATGAACTTCCAATTTCTGTTGCAGTGGCGTTTCTGTTTCAAGAGGAGGCCAGCTAAACTGCGTACTAACTCTATTCTGCAGGGCTGAGTTGGAGGTCTTCGTCTTTTCTTTCTTTGCTGACTTTGTTGAATTTTGACCATTGAAACCAGTAGCTCTTGCAAATTTCTTATCATGCTGGGTTGATGGAGATGCACCAAAGGTTGGAGAGCCAATAAAACAGCCATGTGGTTTATCTGATAAGTAACTTCTGCTGTAATAATCAGATGGTTGCCTTTTCTGGGTACCATGGGCCTTAGATGTACCAATCTCTAACTTAGTATTGCAATCACCAGGATAAGAGGGTCTTTTAAGCATTTGAGCACTGACACCCACATTGAATGGTGTACGTGACTGCATGCCTGCATCCATAAGGCTGAGTAAATGCATGGCTGGTATTGTCTCGTTAGAGTACAAATCCAGAGATCCCCTCAAATTTTGATGAGACTCCATCCCATTATGCTTGCAAGGAAATGAATATTCTCCATTCATCCTGTTGAAGGTTCCAGGACCTGTGTTCCTACTAAGCTTTTCTAGGCCAGCAGCATTCAGATTAATGTAGTTAAGATCAATATTCCTCTTCATGTTCGGCTTATGAAGTGCACCAGATCGGAGTGAAGTTATGTCCATGTTACTACTAGTAGCCTGAGAAACAACCTTCTTGGGCAAATCAAGTCCTAGGGAACCATGATTTGGAGTCAAGGATGCCCAAATGCGAGAAGCTTCATCATCCTGTTGTAAGATATTCTTATGCAAGCTACATCCTCCCCGGGCTTGCAAAGTAGCATTAGAGGATCCACCTTCGAGACTCCCATTATACTTGAAATTTCGAGCACTACCATGCTGGCTAGAACCCATATGTGAAAAATGGAATCCATTTGCTGGCTTCTTTTGGGACTGGGAAACTTCAAAACCAAAGGGGGATTGAGGTGGGCACGGATTATTCATGCCCAAGTTGTTTGGAGAAAAGTAATGAACAGGCTTTCTTTTACTAGGCTTCATATTCTCTCCTCTTGTGGCTGTGTTATCTTTCTTATGTCTTCCCTGAGGTTTCACCTTCTGGCACTCTTTTAACAAGCTTATATCCCCTTTTCCGTATACAGTAGGGCCAGCTGTCATCTGTGCTTTCCTTCTTATAGTGGATTTTTCCAACATGGTGCTTCTATTTTCTACATCAGGAAGACACCTCTCGTACTGATTCTTTGCCAAGAGTTCCACAATTTCCATGGGTATATCATCTAGTGTTCCCTGCTCAGACACCTCCGCTGTTTGTTCACTGTATCTTTTCATTATACCAAGTTGTTCCCCAGCTTCAACAGTTTTTTCTGTGTCTCTTGCACCAGTAATTTCCTGCAAAAAGAAAATTATGATCTCCTCAGAAACATGTTTAAAGAGGTCAAAGTGGTTCACAATGGAAAGTCTATAGAAGTATGATATTGATTAGAATACAAAGATCTGGTTGATGCTCACACAAATGAGCAGGAAAAAAACATAATAAGATTTGCTGGTCACAACAATGAATCTCATCTTCATTCCGAGAGCTATACATATTTTTCTAATTAAGAAAAAGCATTCTGAGGGGATTTTTGTGGCTACTTACTTCGCAATGATCACCTTTTCCAGAAATAGCATTTGTTGTGTGCTTGGACGGAATGCTTGGCCCTCGAAAAACATTGGTTTCATTGCCTCTCCTATTAAGCTGAGGTACTTTTGAAGTGCCCTCCTGTAAAGGAAATGAGAAAGGTAGGCGATTTTCAATTTTATGGATGCATTTTTTGTTGTAATCATGTACTGCCAAATAACTGTTTAGAGAAAGATGCAGTCCCTCTTCTGGTCCTTTTTCACTTAGTAGCTCTTGGGCTGAAGGAATTGGAGCGGCTACATGCATACTTGACCTGATTTTTTCCCCTGAATATGCAAAAGAGTCTTCTACAAGTCTGTCATTTTTCTGGCAGGATAAAGAAACAAGCTCCCCATCGGTTTGCAGCATTTTCCCCTTTTCTTTGGACAGATTGGACTCATTTTCTATTCTGAGGGCATGGAAAGGAAAAGTATCCATCCCTTTCAAGGTAGAAGGAGTTAATCTAGAAGAAAGAGATTCAGATGCATATGCCTTGTCTGCAGTATCCATAGTGTCCTTGTTTTCAATTTGCTGTCCTTGTTGTGGCTCAGGAATCAAGTAATTATCTACAACTTTAATCTTTTTGTTCTTCTTCTTACCCATGATATGGCTTGTTTCAGTTTCAGGTTTACTACAGTGGACCTTTGCAACATCTTGTAAACCTGTTCCTGCTAGTATATCTTTGGAATTGGATCTAGTAGCAAAAACAGTATCAGTTGTTTTTGCATCTCCCTCCAAGTCATGAACTTCAGTTTCAACCCTCTGAAAAAGCATATTTGCAGGTCTCCTTACTTCATCCAGAAGAAACTTCCTTTTTCTACTCTGACCTCCATTTGTCAATGTAGAATCTCCTTGAATATCCACCTTTCCTGGGAAAATTAAATGTGCCTGTGAAGCTGCAGAAGCATTGGAAGTACCATGGGATGAGGATTCTGGTATAGTGATTTGCTCGGTCTTCAATTCACCATTTTCACTTAATAAGTCAGACATCAAGCGCACCTTCCGAGGTCTCCTACGAGACAAACCAGTGGACTTTTCTAAATGATGATCGTCAAAATCATTTTCAACCATATTGTCCATACTTCCTGCAGGCACAGCATGATTACAGGCAGCTGATTCAAGAGGAGGATTTCCAGTTATTTGATCATATATATTGTCTGTCTCCATTACTTTTGTTCCTTCTCCCAAAATTGTAGAAGCTCTTATTAATTCTTTCTGGCATTGGTTATCTGCAAAAGGTGTTCCTCCTTTACAAATCTCAGCAGAACTCTCATCCATGCATTTGAGATTGCTAGCAAGCTCATCATAAGAAACTGCATTACCTTCACTGCCTGTCTCGGAAAAAAAAAATCTTGAATTGCAATCTTTGAAATCAAGAACATACTACTATAATATACACAAAATTGTCACTTTAATAATACAAAAGAACAAAAGTACTGCAGCTTGACTAAAATATGTTCTATTCAGTTGAACCTACCTCTTTTAGTTGTAAGCACTTCTTGTGCAAGGCCTGGATAAATTTTAGGTGATGGAACGCTAGCTATTTGATTATTGAGATTATCCTCCAAGCCGATCTCAAGGTCTAGAGGAGACACAGAAAATCAAACCACATAATGTAAAATAATAAATAAGATACTCTTATAGACCTGATATTGAAGTTACCTATTGTTCGGCTGAGTAAAGCTCCATCTTTATTTTCTTTCTCAATACTAATTGGTAAGCAATCATAGTCACAGCTCAGATTATTATTAAGATCAATTTCTCTTCTCTCAAGAGCATCGGACATTGGATCTTGCTGAATACCAGACTTGAGAGCAGCATCACTACAGTTGGTATCAGATCTGCATCCAGTACTGCAACAATTAAAGTCTGTTTGGTCATCTTTATGAGTGTCTTTGGCAGCGATTTCTTGTCGAGAGTTTTGACAACACCCACATCCGTATTTTGGTACATCTAACGGTGGAAGTGATGGTTGCTCATCAGACTCATGTACTGGAAATGGCCAACAAATTTTCCAGTCTTTTTTGCGAATTTCAGACACATATCCACTGCACTAGCAATAAATTAAGATAGTGTTAAGGATTCTAAAGGGGAACCAAAAGGTAGTGTCTGATTCTACATAAGAAAATCTAATCTTCACATTTTTTTAAAAGAAAGAATTTGATATATTCCCAATTAATAACTAAACTGAACATTTTTTCACATAATTCTGTAATATCCAGAACTGCGTATATTTAGGCATGACCGACCATTTGATTCTTTATGAGTCCTTATTCAAACCTTAATCCCAAACTAATTGGGGTTTATAATTGCCATCATGCAATGCATTAATTGATTGGCTCCCATATGTTGGTAATTGTAAACAACTACATTGCAGCATTGTACTAAAATGATAAAAAATACATTATGATCTCATCGAATAAGAACAATGTAATCATCCTTATGCATCAGCTACATGATACTATAAATTATGTGAAGGCAGACATAAACTGTATAACTCGATATGCTCCCCTCCTCCTCCCCCTCCTGACAAAATTAGTAGGATTGTATAGCATGTAGCATCAAGGCTTACCGTATTGAGAAATGTTCACATTTGCCCGCATCTCTCTTACCAATAGAATCGGCAAGATCTATAGAGATTGAGTCAATCTGGATATACGATCTCATGGACTCAGTGACAGTATTACAATCACCTTGCAAATGACTCTCCACAACTATGCATTCACATCCGCACAGTACAAGCAACCACAGGTAGAAGCACAAATAAAGTGTTTCCTATTCACACCAATTAAATACAAATTAAAATTTGAAAAGGAAATAATGGGTCTAACAATTAAGTCAAGCTATTATTAATCAAACGATAGTAACAGATTTACACACATGTAAGGAATAATACACTAGAAACATATGAAAACATTTAGTCAAGCTTTGTAGAAAACTATTAGGGTTTATGCAAAGCTGCTAACAAATGAAAAGGAAGACAAGATAAGCAAGGGCAAAATCCAAGATAAATTGTTATCATAACCAATGAAAACTTCAGACACAGTGTTTGGTCACATAAAATGACAACCTCCAACATTATGAAAGTTCCTAAACCCTAGTTTTCCATTCAATAAAACCAACCAACAGATGCTCAAAGTTAATAATTGAACATTTGAAACGCAACAACACAAAAAACTAGCCACCCACCCATATAATTCGTTCACAGAAGGAGCCATACCCAAAGCTAACAAGACCCAACAACACTACTAGGGTTTTCTTCAAAATTCAAGAGCGAAACTTGTCATCTTGCAGCGAAAATATTATTTTAGTATAAGAATTGAAGCGAGGCAAGAAACCCACCTTGTAATCACATGTTACGAGCAGAAACCAGATGAAGAAACGACGCACAACAATCCACAAAGCCAAAATCCTAGGGTTCAGCGACCTACATAAATTCACCTCAGGTAAACAAAAATTAACTCAGTTCAAATCAACAAGCAAAGAAAACGCTAGAGGAAAATAAAAAAAGAAAATAAAAAAGAAGAAGCGTGAAACGGTAGCAATAAAGCAATACCCAGAGAAAAAGAAAGAAAGAAAGAAACGCAAAGCAAAAGCTGAAGTGGACACACCATAAACACTACAGTAACCTTAATATCTCAAATAAATCAAAACACGCTCAAGAGGATCCAAGAACCTGTCCCCGATCAACACAGATTCAATCACCGACTTAAAAACTGAGGGCGAAAAAGGATAATACGAAAAATAAGACCCACCCAAACTTACCTGCGGACCACCACACACGATCTCTCCCAGCTTTTCACCGATTCTCAACGGCTCCTCAAAGAAACGACACCATAAGATACAGCATTCGATGGAGAAGCCACGTAGCTCAGCTCGGAGCTATGATTCCCAACTACGAGAGCACAATTTGAGTGCGAAAGACACAGAAACCCTAGAGAGAGAGAGGGGCTTTCGATTCTTTCGGTATGAGAGAGAGAAAGAGAGAGAAAGAGAGGAGAGAGAGTGAGTGAGAGAATTTTTATCCTCTTGTCCTTGGAAGAAGGTGTGTTTGTTTTGTATATTATTTAAAAAACACCGTAGCAAGTCATGTCTATGTAAGATCCATACGCATAGAAATTGTAAATGTAGAGAGAGAATGTGAGGAGAGAGAAATAAAGACCCAATGAGTAATCACCACGTGGCGAGAATGTGCGGCTCTTATCACTAACCATTTATAATGGGCTTTGTGGACACTGGACAGCGAGGAAACCCTAGACGGAAGGGTGAAAAAAAAAATGCGAGTACAGTACTCGCGCGTTGATTTCACGCTATCCTTTTTTCAGTGGTTCATTTATTAATTTGTGCCTGTCGTGTCATCCAAGGTTAAAGGTTCTGCTCATGGCCTTTGCACATTAACTGCTTTTCATTGGTTCGTGTTGTACACCGTATCTCTGGGGAGGTGGGTCTAGGTGGAGACGTGGAAGTTGTTTGAAACCCTAAGTTTTTAGATTATTTTTTTTGGAAAGTAACGGAGGGCTAAGATACGTTTAACCCTAAACATTTTGCAGCACATAGCATCTCCTCTCTGTCCCAAACCGGTAGTGGTGATAGTAGAAGTAACGGAAGAGTTTGGCTTTTCGATTAAAAGAATGACATTCTCAACTTAGATGATCAAATATGAAGAAATTTGAATTTAAGCATTTAATATAAACAATTTATAATATGCCGAAATATTGTCTATATATCATAAATACGAAAATGACATGTTTCGAAATTTTATTTATAAAAAAACTATGAAAAGTCAGAAAAGATATTTGTTGAGGAAAAAGAAGAAGAAAATGATCATTGATCATACAAATAACAAATACGTGAGAGAAATAATTTAATAATAACGATAGAAATTTATTTAAGAGCGAATGAACATATGGTGTATGGATAGAAACATATGGTCATAAATATGAATAAGTTCATTATTTTGGATCAGGTTATAAGAAATATTTTTGTGAATTTCATGATTTTAACTTGAATAGTCCGACTTTAATGGTACAAGAGTATATAATTAATTATTAAGATATGTGTAAGCTCATCCTAATTAATGCTCCAAAAATGCAGTAAAAAAAAAATCAAATAATTATTACTCCAATTAAATCACCCTAAAAGATTCCCGTACTTTTTTTTTTTTTTGGATACAGATTCCCGTACTTTTGGTTATAGTTTAGTTTTGATTCTTGAAATGACATGTAGATGAGTTAATAATAGAAACTTATCAATCATCTAAAAAAAGTAACGTTTCCATATTTTGGGCAATATGCCATTCTCAGTTTTCTTCAGGGATTTCATTATTCTGGGTTGAATAGGGAGAACAACATTTCCTAAAGAAGGGGCCTAGAACCGAGTTTAAATTACCATAATTAAGTAAGTAGCTCCTGTTTTATGTAATAGAAAATTGGTATTTGCTACCTATATACGTGAAGTTTACTTCATCCGAAAGTTTCTTCCTATTGTATTGCTAAGAAACAAGATGAAGGAATAAATCAATGTTAATTTCATGCGAAAGTTTCTTATCTGCGTCTGACATTGACTCTCAAATACGTATTATTACTTGTAATGTATAAAAAAGCTGTACGTGTACGAATGAATATGTGTGTAAGCATTTGTCATCTTAATTTTTCTCTGCTTCAAAATGGCCTTTGAAACTAACAAGCCCAACAGTAAAACCTATCAAAGACTGATTCTTTTTAAAGAAAACGAGAAATTATGTCTGTTAGAACTCAGTAATCAAAATTCGTTCCATGCTGGGAACTTAACTATTTTCATAGGATAAACTTTTACAGTAGAGAATTAAATGGTTGTTCTGAGTTTAAAACGACACATAAATATACGGTGAGAAGTGGCTTATATTTATATGGTAGGGATAGCTTGACCTTCCAATATTGGGAGAGGGCCCTATGTGCCATCATGCATATATATATTCCCATAGATAAATAATGTTAAGTTAATAGGGAAGTGTCTGCTTGACCCATGTGGATCATATGAAATGAAACCAATAAAATTAATGAAAGCTGTACAAAAATTCACACTTGTCCAAAGCCATCCACCCAACCCACGTACCATCATATTATACCCAAATAAGACATTCCATCTATATAGCCCAAATGTTTCGTTTTATTTTTCCTTGATAAAATTTATATTTATTCAGTGGAATCTAAATGCTTTTTCACCACCAACTTTAATTGGTACACCTTTGAGTCGGATGACTCTCATTTAAATCTCCCAATCATATATATTGCCTAAACTAATATAAGATAGTTTAATCATACTATCTTACAAATTAACCTAAAAAAGAGTTGATCGTTAGTTATAGAATATTAACATCGTTCTAAGAACTTGACATATTGATTACAAGTATATAACTACTTATATGTACTATTTACGTAAGCAATTGTATATATAGGTATATATAACTCAGATCCAAGTACCTTTTGGTTATTTACGACACGTACTGCTAGCTAATCCATATATGCATTGTTAAGAAAGGAACATCTAATTAACTTTGCTTACATGTTAATTTATTTTATAAATAAAAAAATGAACCACATGTTAAATCAGCAATTATTTTACTCATCGAAATGATAATTAGTTGCTAGCTGGATTGTGAACGGGACTTGATATGGAACAATGTCCCAATAAGGACTTTGCAGGGAGTTTGAGAGACTTTCCCAGAAATGATTATAGCTGAGGAGATGTTTGACAGGATGGCACCTTTGTTTTATTTTCCGTACCGTGCATATATGCGGATCCAATTAAA